CTCATATATAGTCCACCAATAATTATATTCAATTTTGCGGCTGATAATAAGTGCACTTCTTTAAGAATTAAACGGCCACAATTATAATATATAAATATTAATAATTTATCAAACTTACTTGCTTAAATCATTCAATAGATATTAAATAGTTTTCAAAAAGTGAAAACGTTTATTTTGAGTAGTTTTTAGATTCAATAATCATTTTTATACAAAATAATTAACGGATAATAAGTTTAACATCATATTATTTAACTTCCTTTTTTTAATTGGAAATTGATAAGTCAAGAAGAATTCTGATGTAAATCAAAAAAAGAAAACAAAGATGTTTATTGTATTCGATTATAAAATTAATTCTTTATAATAATAAGTATAAAATATTGATAATATATTTCAACTTATCACTCATCTCAAATATTTTCTACTTAAAACTAGTAGGATGTAATTTTCAATTATATATTCATCTTATTATTAAATAGTATTACTTTGGAAATTGTAATTATTGGATTGATAATCGAAATAAATACATCTTTTTTTATAACCATAAGGTGTTTTAATTCTTTCTGTTGATATTAAGAGAGATCAAAATAATATATGAGGCTGGCAATGCAAGACTCTTCTTATGTAATTTGAAAAATGACTAAGATAATTAACTATTAAATATAACCCTCGAGATGCTCGGATGAGCTGATTCACTAAAATTATGCCTTCTATTTAAAAATAGCTTAGCTTCTGACAGAGAAATTCATGGCTAAGTAAGAAAATAATATAAAAGGAATCTGATTAATCATATATGTAATATGAATACGCAATTCATACATTAAAGTTGATTAGCCCTGTTAATTAGCTCAATTATAATTTAAATTTAGAATTATTGAGTTAACTGTTAATCTTTTCATTATTAATGATTATTACTGTATCTTAATTAATATAAATTAACAAAATGCTTTCAATCGCTATTCTTTTAATAATCAAGCTTATTGACTATGATATAATTTAATTTTTAAACTCAATTGAGTTTTCTTATTGTATAAATATATGAGACATAACTTTTATATACAGTACTAATTTACAATTATTTAATATGAAAGGAGTAGCTCTTATCATAGCTATTATATTTTAAATTCTCAAGATTGGCTTAAAATTTGAACTACATCAAATGATTTTAAACATCCATAATAAGATTAATATATTTTTAATATTAATCAAGATACCCTAACAATTGTATTTTTATGATCTATAAAATCACAATACTTAAATTAAACAAAATTGTATAAATTATCTAACAAGTATGATTTAAGTTAATATCATAAATATAAAAAGACAATAATTACATAAATAATGAAAAAAAAATTAATGATAGATATTGTTATAATTTCAATACTCATAGCTTCAATTTGTTCTCACAGAAAGCTAAATTAATTAATTCAGAATACCCTTTCTGTTTATTGTCCATTGATCATCAGGCTATTTTTTGAGTGATTTTTCATAAAGAAGCACAGCTTCTTCATATTTTTGTTAATCCTCTAAAATACAAAATAGTAAATTCAACATAACAATTATCCTGAAATGTAAATAATAAGATACCTTTAGCTCCTAGTGAAAATGCATGATTAGGATTAATTGAGAGTGCTTGATCTAGATATTTTAAAGAATCATTAAATCTCTTCAATTTTCTTAAACATGTACCTAATATTTAAATTCAAATTATATTAACCTTTATAAAACAAAGAATTAACATCTTTAGGATTGATGGCTAATGCTTTATCCAACCAAATGATTGAATCCTCATATCTACCTAACATCTGTAAACATGAACCTAATAAATAAATTCAAATTAAAACATACCTTTGTAAAATAAAAAATTAATATCTTTAGGATTGATAACTAATACTTTGTCGAGCCAAATAATTGCATCCTCATATCTATTTAACATTCTTAAATTTAATATAATTAATAAAACCAACATTAATATTCAAAATAAACATTTTATCAATTATTATTCTGTTATAATATCATTAAGTGAATGATATTATATTACTTTATATTCTTGATCGAACATATTTACCATCAATTCATTTTATATTATTAAATTTATAGATCTTTATGCAAGCTATCTAAGGATTTTTGATAAATATTTAAAAAAATAAGGCTTAACACTTATTGTATCTCCTTGTGAAAATACTTTGCTTAAAATAAAATAATAAAAGAAATTAGTTCTGAGAGATAATCGTGATGGGATAAGGAAAGATAAGCTTTTTAAGATTCTTAGAATAAAATTATTGAATGATTACGCCTATTATTATATTTAAATTATTTGAAATTATATAAGCCTTTCTAATTAAAGGTAAATGAAAATAGAGCCATAATTAAAAATAGTAAGATCACATATGAAAGTTAAATATTTTTATTTGTCTAAAATTTCAAAAAAATTAATAAAACCAAAATTTATTTTTCAATTTCAGTATGTGTAAATTAATAAAATGATGAACCTAAAATTATTATTTAGGGCATAAGTGATATATCAAATATTGAGGAATATTTGATATT